TGAACATGAAGGTTACAACGGCCCACAACCTGAGCCCTAGACACACTCATGATTTGTCAGCTGGGAGTTTTTTTCTTAAGTACTTGTTAATGCTAGATTAAAAAAAAAAAAATCTTGATTTCCAACCCCTCTTGTAAAATCTGTACTGTTAGTCTGGTGTTGCTGCCTAGTATAAAAGGTTGTCCCCAAGTAGTATCTGTGCCTTCCAGGTGGTCCCTGTGCTTTGGGGGCCCACTCCTCTTTCTGGGTCTATGATAGCCCTGTCTTGGGGCAGCTCATACTTGCTGAGCCAGACATTGGTCTAGACCTTCCCATATGTTAACTCTGACCCTGATCACTGCCCTCTGAGGGAGTTCTGCCATTGTCCTCATTTTCCGGATCAGGTAACCATGGCACAGAGGGGTGGAGCCACACAATTAGTGATGGCATTCTGGGCTCCAGAACATTAGGCTGTCAACTGTCATCAGTCTGCCTTGTTCTTTTCCCATTTCCAGTCCCTGTGGAGATGCAAGGGAAGATGCACCCAGGCCTGGCCCATTCTTTACCTGCCAGATAAGGAAACAGACTATGAGAGGAAGGATATGTAGGCTGAATAACAGCTGCCCAAAGTTGTCTATGTCCTAGCCCCAATTACCTTATTGACTCTGTGCAGACATGATTAAATTAAGAATCTTCGTTGCAGAAATTATCCTGAATTATCTAGGCAGGTTCTAAATGCAATCACAGAGTCTTCATTAGAGGGAGAGGAGGAAAATGAAGAGATACGACAATGAAAGAAGCTAGAGTGATGAGAGGAAGAAGCCAAAAAATAAGGCAGCCTCTAGAAACTAATAAGGACTAGGACACAGATTTTCTCTTAGAGTCTCCAGAGAACAGAGTTCTGTCCTCTTGCATCATCAGGCAGTAAAGGTGTGCTGTTCTGAGCCACTGAATTTGTGGCAACCTATCACAGCAATAAGAAGAAACTAATATAGTTGGTAACATTCAAGATGCCAAAGCTGGTCAGGAACATGGGCCTAACCAGTCTCTGAGAGCTGTGACTACTTCTGAAGAGGGGCTGAGGTAATCTGAGGGCAGGGGAGGGGCTCTGGAGGACTCTGAGCCACTGGGCCACGCGGCAGCCTGTGCTCTGCCTGCCCAGCCCCCTGCACTGTTCTTTCCCTAGCTAAGCAGGCCTTGGCCTTCCTGCCCTTGTTTGTCAGGATACCCACCTCCAACCCCTGCCCCCATGGCCTGTGTGACCCAGTTACCTTTCCTGGCATTGATCAGTGACCAGGAGAGCAAATTCTTCAGCCTTTGTGCAAGTGCAACTCATTAGAAATGTATTTACACTCATGGACCGTGATTGCAAAGGGTTAGGAATTGTGGCGACTAACAATTCTAGCAAAGAGGAAGTTAATGACACACTGTAAGCATTTGGGGCATCAATCATGTACACTAACATCTGTCTCTGAGATGGCTCCGAAAGCAGTACAAAGTGTAAAGGGAATGGGAAGAGAAAGAAGCATGTATAGACCCTGAGTTCATATTAAGAACTGGGCTTTACCTGTGACATGTCCTTAATCCTCCAGCACCTGGCACCTTATCCAAAAAGATCTAATGCTCAGAGGGTACCTCCCACATACCCAGCTCTGTTTTAGGCATTTTACATATATTAACATACATCACTACCCTATGAGGTGGGTCTTCTTAGCCCCATTTTATGAGTGAGGAAATAATCAGAGATAATGACACTTACCAAGGGTCAAAGAGGAGCAGAGCTAGGATATGAATCTAGCAGGCTTGCTCTGACCCACTCTGCAGAAGGCAGCTGAGGCTTAGGCACAGCAGACCTTTGCTTCCAACCCTAATTAGAACTAAATGCTGTGAGTTCAGGACCAGAACATTAATCCATCAGACACAAAATTCAAGAGTGTTTTCTATCAGGCTAAGCTACCCATATTAGGAAACCAGCGAGAGATTGCTGCAATAGGGCAGGTGAAGAGGGCCTTCTCGAGGGCAGACAGGATGGCAAGGGGCAAGTGGAGATCAATAGAATTTGGCAATTGTGAGCAGCAGCAATCTGAGTTGAAGGTCCAGGCTTAAAGGTCTCATGGGGGTCCTGGAAGCTGTGCAGCACCATGATACCTGGGCTCTATTTAAGGAGTAATTGATTCTGCACAACCCCCTTTATCTCTTGAGGTTTCAGTCTTGTCTCCTGAAAGCCAATTTGGGGGCCTCTGTGATGTGAGGCCCCTTTTTGGCATCAAGTCTCAGGTTATCAGGGTCCTGCAGATGGCTAGTCTCCTTCCCCCTTTGCACCCCTGCTGTGCTGGATCCTTGTTGTTATCCAGAGTTCTGCTACCCAGGAGCCACTGCCAGGTGCTCAGAGGTCCCCAGAGAATTCCTTTACTCCCCCCTCCCCTTCAAGGAGCCAGGGCTGATGCAACCTGACTGCAACTGCCACCTCACTTCCCAAGCTAGGCCCCTCCGCACTGAAAAAGAGTCCCCAGCAGCCCCACCCTTGCTCCAAACTCCTACCAGAGCTGAAGAGTTGGGCACCTGGACCCTAGAGGACTTTGTGAGGCTGGGAGAGGTCAAGGCATCTGAGTCCAGAGGATCTAGGTCAGGAACAGATATTGGTAAGGGATCAGGATTCTAAGAGCTGGGGTGGCAGGGAGCCACTGATAACTCACCATCACAAACTAGAATATGCTAGGAAAGGCTGGATAGCTAAGTGTGTAAACTGGCACCCACTCAGCAAAACTAAGTCAAACTGCTTAGGTAGGGGCACAGGTAGCTAAGAGAGAGAAAAGGGCACAAGAGGATGAAACAGAGGGGCCAGAGTCCTGCCACATATAGCCAGAAACAAGATTCCCCTACTGAGAAAGGGCATGTCTAGTTTTTTTTTTTTTGGGGGGGGGTTGTTTATACTGTACTGGAGACTGAAACCAGGAGCACTCTACCACTGAACAACCTCCCAGCCCTATTTTATTTGAGGCTCGCTCTCACTAAATTGGTGAGGTTGGCCTTGAATTTGCAATCCTCCTACCTCAGCTTCCAGAGTAGCTGGGATCACCAACAAGCACGATTACACTTGTTTTTTTGTTTTATTTTTTTTTTTCCATTTTTGCACTTGGTTTTCCCAGTTAACAGAAAACAAAGGCCTTAGGGAACCACTAGTGAAATTGGAACAGAGTGGCATTTAGTCAAAGGTAATGCACTAATTAATGTTTGAGACAAATGTGTCCTAGTAATAATACAGGATGTTAACAAGGGGGGAAAACTGGGTGAGGGCATGAAGAAATATCTTTGTAACTTTTCTAAACAAGACCTATGGGCTGGGAATGTAGTTGCTGAGGCTGGCCTCAAATTTGCAATCTTCCTGCTTTGGCACCCTGAGTAAGCTGGAATTATAGGCATGTGCCACCATGCCCAGCAATCAGTTTTCACTAGTTAGCAGCAAAGACAGATCATATCCACCTCAATGATAACAGTAACAACCCCTTATGCAGCATCTATTATATGCTAGGCACTAGTCTATAAAGGCTTAATGTGGACGAAATCACTCACTTCATCCTCGTAACAGCCTAAAGGGTACTATAACTATCACTTTTTAACTACAGAGAAAACAGCCATAATGAAAGAAAACTGTCATGGTCATAACAGCTGGCAAGTGTGGTGCAGGGTTTAAACACAAATAACCTGGCTCCAGAATCATTTTAACTTCTACACTATACTGCCTCCATTATAATATAGCCCCTACAGGCCCAAGAAAATATAGAAGAACTCAAAAAGTGCTCTAAAGGAAGGTGATCAGATTCCAAGGACATCCTGCATGCAACTAGGAAAAAGGGTGTGGAGGGTGAAGTAATCTGCCTGTAGTGATAAAGATCAGATCGGAGTCCTGCCCCCCACCTTCAGTATTGGGGCATGAACTTTGGGCGCTTTACTGTTAAGCTACATCCCCAGTTCTTTTTTTGAGACAGCGTCTCCCTAAGTTAAGGCTGGCCTTGAACTTGCAATACTCCTGCCTTAGCCCCCAGAGTGGCTGGGATCATAGGTGTGCACCACCACCACTGGTTCCCCTACCTTCTTTGTATCTTGAAGTCAGTTTCTTAACTGCCACGGAAAAAAAGCTAAACCCTATGTGCAATGTTCTAATGTAGCTGGATGCAGGGTGGGAAAGGAAGGGGTTTCTGCAACAGAAGAAAGACTTACACCCACCCAGGCTGGTGGAGGGCCAAGGCATGAGGAGAAACATGAAGGATGGTTATCATGGTCCCTCTCTTTAAAAGGTGATCAGGGGTGGAGAAAAGAACACTGGGACCTGAAGCTCTGTGGAGGAACGGGCTGAGCATTGGTCACGCCACTCTGTTCCAATTTCACTAGAGATGTGAGAATGACTATCTTCAGGATGGTGTTGGATGGTCAACTGTCTGGGGGCAAAGGAGGGCCCTAGAATGAGACTGGATCTTAGAGTTGTTATTAATAATAAAATACCTTAAACAGGAACGGAGGAGCCAAGCTCTCTGCTTAGGGCTTCGCTGACATCACCTAGTCTGATTTCCACAAAGAAGTCCGTCAAGTAGAGTTGATTTTTATCCTCATTTTATAGAAATGAACTGTTGCGAGTTTGAGGTAGAGGATGGGGCCAGATCTCCAAAATCATAAAGAGGAAAGGGGGCCAGGACTTCGGAGTCAAGCAAGGAACTCGACCCTAGAGTCAACGGGAAGGTGGCAACTTCAGAGTTATAAGGAGGGGGACCGCCCCCAGGTCAAAGGGGGTAGACCCGCGAACCCCACAGGCCGTTGGGGGTTGGGGTTCAGATTCGTGAATCCAGGAGAGGAGGCCGGATCGCCTCCCGTTGGGGCCGCGCGGAGGCGGGGCGCGGAAGGATCCGAGCGGGCCGTGCTGCGCCGCCCCCTGTATATCTGTCCCCAGTCCCCGAGGTTGCCTCATTCCCCGTCCTCTGATCACAGCCTCTCCTCACGCTACCGAGACGCCGCCTCCGCCCGCGTAGCCTCGGCCATGGCTCTGTAGCCGCGACCTGTTAGTGCCCCCGGCTCCTCTCCGCGCTTACCGCGCAAACGCTCTCCGCTTCCACCGTCTTTCTTCAATCGAGGCAGCAGCCGCCTCTCCTTTCCACAGCCATGGAGTGAGTAGCCGCTCGCGCCTCTCTTCAACTGCCTTTCCCGCCCTTTAGCTGCTCGCGGCACTCCAACAGGGCCTTAGGGTGGGGAGACGCCGGCAGGGAATCACGGTCGCGCAGGCGCAGAAGAGGGACGACGGCCGTCGGCGCGCGGCTGAGCATGCGCACTTGGCCCGAGTGGTGGGGGGAGGGTGAGTTCTTTCAGGGAGGTGCTGTTTAAGGTCGGCCCCGCGTGCGATTGCGCCTGCGCACCAGCCTCCAGAAGGGGTAGTTGTTTTTTTACTCGGAACGATTTCGTCCACTCGCGGTGCTCCTGCGCATGAGCCCACCAGAACCCTGTACTATGAGGGGTGGGCTATAAACGGTTGCACATGCGCATGGATCCCCAGGACGGCTGAGGCCTGCAAGAACAATGAACGACTCTAGGAACGGAGCATGCGCTTTAACGCTCGGCGAGAGAACCGCACGAGGGGTGGGGGTTGGGCTGCTGTTCTCGGCCCCTCCCTTTCAGTCTCCAGGTCTCCACGTGGCTCGTCTGGCTCCCAGTTTTACTCCCTTATTTCAAGCAGACATCTGCTGGGGCACGGAGTAGCCTAGATTGACAGTACAGAGGGCGGGGCGTAGAGCCACCTGTCATTAAGGGGATGGAGCTAGGTCCACAGCTTTAGCGAAGACTTAGGGAAAGTCCTTGTGAGGAGGGGGGGGCGCTTGTGGGGACAGCCGAAGTCGCCTTAAAGTTGAAAGAGAAAAGTGGAATTGGAGTGGGTGACCTTGATGAAGGGACAGGGCATGGAGAATTCCCCTGGGAACTGATTTGGGATGGAATCTAGGAAGGGAATTGAGCCTAATGGAAGTATTTTAGAGGAAAGAGCATGGCTGGAAGAAAATTCCCCTGAGACTGAATTTTTTTATGAAGAATATTATGAAGTGGGTGGGAAGGGCTCAAGGTAATTCCCTTGAGAAACCATTAGGGTTCTGTATTGGGGGAAGAGGTGGACCTTGGGGAATCAAAAGAATTCCCTTGGGAATGGGTGGGAGTCAGAAATTTGGGGAAAGAAAGGGCAGATTTAGAATTCAGAAGGGACAAGACTTGGTTCCAAACCTCCCTTGGAAGGGGGAGGGAGGAGCCCCATTGGCATGGGGTGTGGCTTGGTTTTCCTTTCACTGTGACATGATACCTTCTGGTCTCCCGTGCAGGTACTCCACTTTTGCCTTGGTGCCTGTCTTTGCCCAGCTGAGCAGCCCACAGAGCCTCCTCCCAGCTGTTGGTGTAACCTCTTCTGCCCTTGGTGCCCAGCGCCTGTGCCACAGTCATGTCACTCCTGGCGACCCTGGGGCTGGAGCTAGACAGGGCCCTGGTCCCAGCTAGCGGACTGGGCTGGCTGGTAGACTATGGGAAACTCCCCCTGGCCCCTGCCCCCCTGGGCCCCTATGAGGTCCTTGGGGGAGCCCTGGAGGGCGGGCTTCCAGGGGGAGGAGAGCCTCTGGCAGGTAAGAGCAGGTGGAGATTGGAATGGGGTGTGCTAGGGGCTTGGGGGTGGGGGCAAGGAAGAATTCATCATTCCTTTACTTGTTCATTTGATGAGTATTTATTGAGGGCCTACAATGTGCCAGGCACTGTTTAGGTGCCAGAGATAAAGCAGGGAGCAAAAGTAACATGATCCCTGTCCTCTTGGAGCTCACAGTGTAGTGGGGAAACAGGCAAGAGACAAAAGATGATGTATTGGGAGAAGTGGAAAACACAGCAGTCACTTAAAAATGAGGCCCCACTCCCCCCCCTTCCCTCCCCCCCCAAGCATGTTCCCTCCTCCTCCCCTTCCCCACTTTTGACCTCCCCCAGCCCTCTGTCCTGGATTCCCTTGACCTGCTAGCCATCTCCTGCTACAGGGAGGTTGAGCAAGGGGATGTGTGCTTGATGCCCCTCGCCCCACCTCAGCAGCCTCCTGGTTCAGAGTTCAGGTAGCCAGGAAACCACCAAGTAGGTCATGTATAGACGGAGGCCTAAAGGATGAGAAGAAGTAAGCATGAAAAGACCAAAGAAAGAACATTTCAGGGGAGAGAAGAGCATATGCAGGGATCCTGATGCAAAAATTAACATATCTATTACTATATCCCAAATGCTTGGCACATAGTGGGTTTTCAATAATTAATAAATAGCCAGATATGGTAGCATGTGCTTGTGTTTCTAGCTGCTTGGGTGGCTGAGGCAGGAAAATTGTGGAGCCCAGAAGTTCAAGGCTAGCCTGAACTAGACCCAGTCTCAAAAAAAGGAGAAATGAAGAAAACTGAAATGGTGTGTGTGTGTTTGGGTGTGATGTGATCTTGCTTGCCTTTTAAGAATAGAGAATAAATTGGAGAAACTACAGATCTAGGCCTTCAGGAAAGAGTGTACCAGATGATTGAAAAAATGGTTGGTTGACTGTTTTATTGACAATGGGGTCATTATTTGGTTGATTCTTTTATTTTTCAACTAAAATTAGTTAATGGGTTGATTGGTTAGTTGATTGATTCCTTGATGGTTGGTTGGATGACTGATTGGTTATTTGGTTGACTGGTTCATTTGTTCCTTTACTGTGTGGCTTGTTGACTGGTTTGATGACTTTAGTTGGTTGACTGATTGAATAAGAGAAATGAGCCTGAGACAGACATACAAGTGATCACTTGATTGGGTGGAGGACCCAGGAACTCAGGGCACTTTATGTTCCCCCTCCACTCCCAAGGTGACGGCTTCTCTGACTGGATGACTGAGCGAGTTGACTTTACAGCCCTCCTCCCCCTGGAGGCTCCCTTACCCCCAGGTGCCCTGCCCCCACCTTCCCCACCTCCCCCTGACCTGGAAGCCATGGCTTCTCTGCTCAAGAAGGAGCTGGAGCAGATGGAAGACTTCTTCCTTGAGGGCCCACTCCTCCCTCCACCTTCACCACCACCACCACC